TTTTCCGAAAGTATCCAGCTTGCATCGAGATACTTAAACAACTCCTTCCGAATGATTTTCCTAGTTAGGTTAACGGGTCGGCAATTCCTAGGTTTATGTCGGACCTACTATGGAATTCTTTCAGTCTTTTGGTAATGAACTCTGGATTACAGATAGATTACAACATATGCATATGGGGTTCACAATAAGATTTGCCGATTCCTTCAGTAATCTTGGATGCATTTTATTGGGTCTCTTGAATTTACTCATATTCGGTATTTCGAATTATTTGAATTGTAGTATGAACTAAGAATCCCAGAAATAACGCGACTGAATGAAGAAGTGTAGAATTATGGTCTACTATAATATTAGTGATGCTCTAATAATAGACCTAATTCTAAATTTGTAGATTTGTCATGATATAACTGCCTTATTTATAAGATCTTACGTGGAAGTCACACCATCGACTACGCCAACTCGCTGTATCATATCAATTACCAATACATGATGTAGAACAAGGTTAGGCTAGAGAAGGAACAATATATTTAGTATGAATAGAAGATATAAGATAACATTCAGCAGGGGCCGAGCCATGCCGTTCGATCAACTCTAATTCATTCAATTCATTGTTCGCGCCTTCTCCATTGTTAGGTATTTATCGGCGTTAAATATTGAATATCTATTTTCTGGGTAGTCTCGTGTTCAGCTTTGTGGATTGTGCGGTTATTGTTTAATGCCACTACAGAAGTACTAGAATATGCACGAACGAATATATTACATTTAGAATTCGAAATCGATCATTCAACAAGTACAAAAGAATCATTAGTTCGTTCAAACACCACATCATATCAAGCTCATTTTGCAGACCAGAGACGTCGATTTCCTTAATGTTCATGGTGTCCAGTGTACGAACTAAAGGGGAGAGCAACTCTACGGTACATACATTGCCAAAGTAATTTGAAAATACCTAAGCTTTACCATAGTCATCCTTCACCAACTATGTAGTACTGCCGCGTCTCCATGATACTGGAGTATTCCCTCTTCTCTAAGTCCTTTTGTTTATGTGCGAGTATAAGCGTTTAGAGTATTCTACAGATTCATCAACAAGTTTTTATTCGTATAAATTTTTAGACTCGCCGAGGGTAGAGGCAAAAATATTTCATGCTCCTCATCAGTGCCTAGTAACCTAAATCTCTCTCACATCCTTCTTTTCTTGCGGAGAGGAGTGAGAAACTCGATGCTAAGACACAGTGTAGAGTTTCTTGGACCCCTTGGTGCAGTCCAAGGGATGTGTGGAGCAGTGACATTTATGCACAAATTTCTGAATATATCACAAATCGTTTCAACCGGGGAACTGTTTGGTCACTTTTACTAAGGAGTGGCAATATAACGCAGAATTGTGACGTTGTCATTATAATGAGTCAGTTTGAGACCTAGTAGGGATGATTTAGCGTTCGGGTTGTACCTAGCCTGCATTATGATACATGTCATAACCGCATCAACTAGCTAGTGTTCCAAAGAATTATCTGACGATTTAGTCCTCGAAGTTCTTCAGTCGACCGTAGATGCGTTCAAATCTCTTAAGATTAAACATCGATCACTTGGAGATTAAGTGTAAAAACTCTCCAGCATGACTTCGCTCACCTCACTGTTTGGACTGTGGTAGGCAGAACCAATCAGGAGCTCTTGTTCCTTGCATTTCAATTGGCAACTAACTGATTCAAAGTCATACTTTCATGGGATAAGTTATCGGTAGCAGAAAATGAGACTGCATTCCCAATGAATAGAGCTACTACTCCTACCTTGCGCTTCCGTCGGCTCTTTTGAATGTAAACTTTCAAAATCAAGTTCTCTGACGTCAACAGACTACTTCAGTCAAGTTTCCGAGTCTGCAATTACATGCTGCTTGGTAGAGTCTGTAGATAACTAAGGTAAATGATCTGTGTCGAATGGTTGGGGGCCTACTCAAGTTAGACGAGAACGGTGTGAACATCTAACCGACGTCGAAGTCACAACTCACTGTAATGCCTAAAGTGAATTACCCTTTCGTCGTATACAGATACTGTGACTGTTTCGATGACTGAGCAACACAAACGACGTTACTACAGAAATATATAAGTAGGAATAAGTACAAGGAACAGAGTAAGATCACCACCAACACTAGCAACACAAATACCAGTAGGTTGCGCGCGACTAATTTATACTCGGTTGTTGTCCTTGACCTCGACGAGGATTGGTGAACTGTTCGACGTTCAGTGATCAGATTCTCGGATGGTTCGGTTAGGATCCAGTGGCATTCCATCAGCACAATAAGTCTACCTGTACAAATAGCTCTGATAGCTTGTAGAGCAAGCTGGGAAAATTCGTGTAACAGATCCGAGCACCAGTCAGAAAAATTACAAATCTGATATACCTCTCTCCAACAACTAACCCTAGTTTTAGTTCTTTTTCAGCTTCTCGCCTTTTTATATGTTTGGCAAGACGTACGTATTTAAGGACAAAAATATCTTAACTTTGAGTTTATGTTCGTTCTGTGATATTAAGTCCTAGTCTATAAGCCCTAGGTGAAGCGTCTCCAGAAATATTCTGAGGCATTAGTTGGTTTAGTCATCATTTTTTTCAACTCACTTTCACGATCAAAACGAGTTCTGGGTTCTGATTATCAATCTCCTTGACCTCATAAAAACGTTGGCCTGCCACGATGGCCCGTCTTCGATTTCTCAGCCACTGTTTGGCATACTGTCGTTACTTTTGAAACAATAAGTCGTTCTTCGTTCTTGATCTACAAACATAATTAAATACTGAAGTAGCAAACACAGTAACGTTACACACTGAGATCCTAGATCATAATGGCAGAGTTGGTAATTCAGGACACTGTTAAATACGTCACAGGTATTCGGAGTTTGACCGTTTACGGTCGTTACGAAATTAAGATAACGCGAAAGGGTATGACATAACTCTGTTTTGTCATTCTGGGTCGTTTGAAGCTTTTCTTTGACCGACAAAACCTCGGTATTAGAAGATTTGGTGATTTCTAAGATGCGGTCGGCAGACGCAGCCAGCTCGTCTAAGGTGTTGTTTTGAAACGAGACCAGCACAGCTTGCACCTGTTGAGGAAGTTTGGATAAGAAAGTCGTTTAAGTAGGCCATCATCGTAGGTTCTTTGGCCGATAACCTCTCTCATTCTTTCCAACATGTCTGTCGCAGAACCGTGTTGCAGGTCGATATTATTAAGGAGTTGGTGTAAACTTTGTCTATTGGTTAGGTCTCCGCGTTTAAGGATAGATCGTTTGAGTGTTTCATAGGGTTCCGAAACATCACTAGTAAACATACTAGGTGTTACGTACCTGTTGAGTTCGCGCGGTGGTGCCTTGACTACTGCGAGGAATTGTACACGTGTGTCGATCACGCCGTGCTCGTAGAAGTCGGCTTCTGAGTATCAGAACAAGGCTTCGATGTTGTCTAGCCTGAAGGGGATCAGTTGAAACGAAGGTGGGGATATAGTCTTTAGCTTGAGTACCTTGGGTGTCTGTTCAGTCATAGTGAAATATCAAGTACGAGAATGAACGAGTGAAATATATATATCCAAGAACACGGTGAAAAATATCACGATGTATAAAAAATTAAAACAAGGCAATGATATATAAAATCCCAAAAGGGAACAGACTCACAGTTTGCAATTTGGTGTACCAGATCACGTCGGGCTCACCAATGAAGATGCCACAGGTATTCGGAGTTTGACAACGCTTTAACCAGTAACACCTAATATGAATCGTACCCACCAAGTGAAATCGAAAGACGGAAGCGAGAAGGTTCGAAGATATATTTGATGGGCTATCAATATATCGAGGGTCGTCTGATCTAATCTGGCTAGCGATTACAGGGGTTGTTGAACACGGCGTTCCCACTCGTGATCTAGTGTGGATGCATGACCGAGCGCCTTCGGCTAGGTGAGTCCATTGAAACTAATATGGTCAGTATCCAATGTCAAAAACTTACAGAGCTATTTATTTTGGGGATTTGTTTACCACTACAGTCGAATACTAACAAAACTACTAATTTTGAGTATTTCTTTACCGCTACAAATTGTCTGTGACTAAGTAGTATCTCCTAGACAGATTCATATAGTTTTTCTGGAATATCCTGAACCATCAGCAAGTTATAAGCTTCTTTGACAACGGATGTCAGAAAGTAGGCTGCAAATTCACCATCTCCAATATTTTTTCTTGTCATATACCAGATTTCGAACCTCATTATGTAGTCTTCAAGCCATCCCCATGTAGATCACCAACGTAGATGATCTATGTCGAAAATGATCGGAGGCCTACTGGAGTTAGACGTGAATGGTGTGACAAACTAGCTGACATCGAAGTCACACTTCTTGGTCAGCACCTTACGTGGACTACCCCATTGACATATCAAGGTACCATAGATGCTTTGAAGACTGTACAACACAGAGGACGTTGTTACAGAAACATATTAGTTAAAGTAGATAGAAACGAAAGTGAGACCACTGCCGCATGGGCCAGTTCATGGCATACGATTAACTGACGCGCGTTGGTTGTCCCTGACCTTGACGAGGATCGGTGATTTGCTCGATATTCAATGACACAACTGCCGAATGATTTGGCTAGGCCTTAGTGACATTTCGTTGGCCCTACACCCACTTTAATTGGTATTCAACTGCCCACATGTACATATGCGTGTATATACCACGTGAATGTATGTCTTGGCTTCATGCAATTGTAAGTACAAAGGGCTATCAAGAGGTCAAATCACACCAAGTTTATACATTTTCGGGCAGGTCTCAAAAATATCGCAACCGGTAAATCATCGCGATAACACCATATTATTGGTGATTCATCCTACATCATTACGATGGCATCACTTTTGCTACTAGAGGGATGGACGTTATCAGACCTGGTGTGGCTGAACTCAAATCGAACGTAAAACCGTCTTGATTTTACCGCTACTGAAAAACTCTACGAATTATCGAGGTGATGCACCAATCGTTTTATGACGATTTGACCTTCAAGTTCTCAGTACCCTCCATCAATGGGCGGTACTATTAGATCGTTGCCCCAGTAAACTTACGTCTAAATAGACACTTCCTAAGCGTCGAACGTCCTGTCGTCTAAATAAACCTATTAACTCCGTAACTATACATATGTAGATGGGATCATTATGGATAAAAAATGTTTTTGGTGTGCATTTAAGCGAGGAAGAGCTCCGGAACATTCCGCATTTAAAGATTGAACTGCTAACACATATCGCTCTCAGAACAGTTCAAACTTCATGTCTTTTCGGAGCTATCGTATGTGCCCCGGTGATTACCTTGCTGTCAGGTTTGTTTCTGCTAGTTTAGAATTCAATTTTAGAACCTAAAACTTTAAGGTGTTTAACCAGAAGATCATTCAAATTCGCCACTTATGGATTCTTACCTGGAATCACCATAGCCCCAATACTGATGTACGCTCGAATGAAAGATCAACCGGACGAAGCATTTTACGACAGGTGCTATCGGCTACGGTGCAACAAAAGCCAGGTACAGCTAGTATGCTAATATAGATCATGTCCTTTCAATAGCTAACATTATTCGTCTAAATTCCACTATCAAGTAGTCATTCATTTCTATAAGGGTTCATGATCATGCCAATTCAGTGACTTTTGGTCGGTCAATCCAACCAAACTTACCCAATATCCCTATCTTGAGGAAGTCGCAATAGAAAACTGGGGAAATGACACAAAAACTCCAATTTTTCTCAAAGTCAGGGGAAAACCCTCAAATTTACCCAAAGTTTCCCCAAAATAGGGAAATTGGGTATCCCAGCATACTTAAATTAGTATACCGAGTTTGTTTCAAGCATTGCATTACATATTAGGATAACTATAAGGATACTTATTTCGGGTTATAAAGCCCTTACTAACTAACTAATTCAAGATTAAATTAGGGATTTCCACAAATACGGTAAACAACTAGTCTGTTCCGTTAGCAGTTTACAAGATTTTTGGAAATCACTCGTAAAGTTGTGAAAATATAGAATGTACAAACAAGTATGTAAATAAAGCGTTTACCAGCTGAGTATTTTCCACTAGTATTTATAGGAACTAAATCCAAATAAGTTTTTTTTATAAAAATGAGAGTTAAATAAAGATCCCAAGCTGCCAGCTTCGGGGAATTCCCCAAAGTAAAATAGCCTTCCCCAAACTTTGGGAAAATTTTGGGGATTTCCCCAGGTTTGGGGAAATTTTGGGTTTTTTGTCTCATTTCCCCAAAATTCACTATAGAGGCTTCCCCAAAATGGACTAAATTTTCCCCAAAGTTGGGAGCCTGGGATCACTAACATATTTTGTCTCGAAGTTTATATACGACTTCTCAATAAGGTGGGATCGATCCAAACGAAAGAAATTCGATATCTAAAGTCGTTTTTACAACTGTAGTGGTGGCTGTAAGGTGTTTCTCGCGAATAACGAGTGTCTCATTACAATAAATGTAAGGGTTCAACTGATGACATACTCCACCCCTTTGGAATTCCAACACTGGTTGTGAGATTCGGAGAGCAAGACCTATTATTACGCTAGCAAGCACATAGTGGTTATTTTAAACCTCTAGCTTTCCAGTCGCGCTCCCGGACCAATAAAGCTGGAAACTTATTACTTCCCTCCCAGGTTTCCAGAATCAAAGCATGCTAACACAGTCAACACTAGAAAACAATATTTGGGAGTTAGATTTTTTCGTAAATGCAGTTGTCAGACATCTAATGGATAGTAGATACAATGCCAATCAGTGAATACCTTTAAAGCATTCAAAATAACTGACGAATATCGGACGTCGACTTTATCCCATTTCGCTGAGACTGGTTGAATGCTTCCAACCTGACCTATTTGTACAGAAGAAAAGGGTGACAAATCTACATTATAAGAGATATAGTTGTAGCTTAATACTTTTATCTCCTTTGTAAGCCTACTTATGTTCACACACTGATTCGACTTTGCGTCTCGCGATGTAATCACTTGCGGTGGCCATTATCATAATATGGTCGCGTACTTTAATAATGACTAGTAACCATCCCCTACTTTTCAAGACTAGTGTTTTTGTTTCATTTCAAAATATAAAAGAAGCATATCATTTTCAAATATCTAGTGCTATATTTTGGGGAAACTCTGAAAGAGGTGGAAACATTCACGTATCTGAGCAGCATCATAGATGAAGTTGGAGGATCTGATACCGACGTAAAGGCGAGATTCGGTAAATCAAGGACAGCATTCCTACAGTTGAAGAACATATGGAACTCGAAACAACTGTCAACCAATATCAAAGTCAGAATCCTCAATACGAACGTCGATAGTTCTACTGTACAGAGCTGAAACCTGAAGATCTAGCACAATCATCATCAAAAAGGTACAAGTATTTATAAACAGTTGTCTATGCAAGTTACTCAATATGTGTTGACCGGATACCATCAGTAACAGCCTACTATAAGAGAGAACAAGCCAGCTTCTAGTTGAGGGAGAATTTAGGAAAAGACGCTGGAAGTGGATAGGACACACACTGCATCACGAAGTAAGCACTAACTTGAACTCCTGAAGGGAAACGGAAAAGAGGCAGGCCAAAGAACATACTGCGCCGAGACATGAATAGGATGAATAGCAACTGGAAAAGATTGTCCAGGACACAGTTGGGTGGAGAATGCTAGTAAGCGGCCTATGTTCCCCCATGCGGTGTAACAGGCGTAAGTAAGCGCCATATTTGTCCTTTTTCTCTGATCCTAATTCAGTCCCATTCCGAACACCCATCTCAACTTCGCCTATCAAAGTGTATCAGAATTTTTTTTATCACATGATTCGGTGTTTCCTTAAGCTGTTTGGAGTTCATGAGTAGCCTCAACATAGGATGGATTAGTTCCATTCTGCAAATCTCGTTCTTTATTTGTTCAGAGTGGACAAACTTTATAAGGAAAATACTTGCTAAAATAGGACAAAGTCTCTACAGTTTAGAGATATGATTCCTAACTCGTTAACTGCACAGCAAATTGTTTATAGGTAAAATGTCATTGTAAATAACGTTTCGAGTGAATGTTTTTTGTCGGGGTATCAGTGAGTAGGGCTTAAATAACATTCGAAATTGAATTTTTGGTTTTACCAGGAAAGAACCGACTGCGTTTCTCGTATCCCTAACTTCAAGAACAGGGGTTGTCTTATAACATATTTTCTGGGCATCCATATGAATAATAATATATACAGTTTTGTGATGTCCCAATTGGTAGAAAATTGTATTAATGACGTTCCATGACCTTATGTAAGTCACTTCTTCAGGACAAATAATACGCATCAGGTCGCGAAATGTCATTAATACAATTTCCTACTAATTGGGATATCACAAAAATATACTTATTTCTAACTTTCAACCAAATGATCAATTTATTTGGAACTATCAAGTCCAATCTTGACACTGATACCTACAAATCCATGTAATTACTTAGCGGTTCGTGTAATTTCTTTGGTTTTATTATTTTTTTCAATGAAGCTTCGTGTAGATCGTTTCAGTTATATCGGTTTGGGATGCGGCGGGATAGCAGGTTTCGCCAACGCAGTTGGACCAATACAAACAGCAATAATAGGAATGATGATTGGGACTGTAGCAGCTGTTTGTTGTAATAAAATTGAGAATAGCATTTCTACACAGAAATAGATATTAGATTTTTTTGCTCAACTTCTGTTCATTTATTTCCGTAATAAATATATTTTCCAATAATTAACTGGTTTGTGGTAGAAGAATGTTTTTACTATTTGTTATTTAGCGACGGAAAAGTTCTAAATATGTTACCTTCTTTAGTAAAGTGTATATTACTATTTTGACAATCATTTATTAGTGTCGATAGTTGAACAGTTCGGAGATCTAAATGACTTTTACTGTGGTAATAAGGATGATGGTTCTCACCTTTCTTCGTATACTGAGGCCTGTATCATCTCAGTCTGTGCCACTTTTCGGGCCGTTAATGTGAGTATAATTATACCCCTAATGTTGATAATCCGGTATCACGATTATGAATTTGTCCCGGATAATTGATATGAATACAATTACTTTCCAATCCTTCGTATTTCAGACACTTTCGAGTCAGGCTGTGTAAAATCAGGAATTAGTTATGAATGTTTAGGGTATACTGCACTTCAAACACCAAAGATTGATAGGGTAAACAGACCCACATAGCCTACCATTAGAAGCATGAAGTATGTATATTTCGGAGTCCATAAATCTTTTGTTATATACTACAAGCATGCAAATTAGTTTCACCGAAAGGTATATGATTCATTTGACAAAATATAAGCACCAAACGAACAATTCACGTCTAATGCGACATTAGTTTTAGATATGGCCAACCAGCATGGGAGCTCTTGTTATTCTTATAAAGCAATTACTTTACTACTAATTGGTGTACATCGTTCCCTAATCTAAGGAACCCAATTTTGACTTCATCTGAACTATAATATAGTCCAAAAAACCATCTTGCTTACCACTAAGACCATTCCATCAATTTTGTAATCCTTAAACCACCCAGCAGCAGATTTTTGCAAATGAACTTGATTGAATATATTATCAGAGTTGTGGCTTGAAAATTGTATTTCCATAGTACCAAGTTGACTTATACTAAATACTCTCGTGAAACTACTCATAATTTAACAATAATCCACTTCCGTACCTTGGTGTTCTAAGCAAGATTATGATCGTCTGAGCTGAAGTAAAATCAAAGATTTCCGTATCATTAAATCAACAGCCATACTCATAAAATAAGAATTTATATTATAAATAGCATATTATGTTTGATCTATTCACCAATTGGCAGATGGCAATAAATATTCAAAATTATCTGTCAAGCATTTACCAAAAGTTGATCATAAAAGGAAAATAAAGCAAAGTGGGTCCCATTCAAAAATAACTGTAAAGTGGAAAATAATTGAGAAAATATTTTCATATTCGCCTTCACTTTCATTTGTACTAAAACGAAAATTGTTTCCAAAAATCAATTTTTACAAGAGAGATGCATCTTATCAAAAAGAATACGATTTCTATAAGAAAAGTCAAAAGAAATATTTCAACTTCGTTGGAAAGACTTTGATGTTCCAAATGTCCATGATTCAATACTTGGCAAGCCGTTAGGGTGCGTGAATTTATCTGTACGTAAGACTGAGTCTTTAGGCGATAGTTTTGTTTGTGGGCAGTTGTTAATACTTGCAGACTGTAAAATTAATGGGGAGTTTTCAGTCGGTAGATTCGAAGAGTGTATAGTCTGTAAGAAGTCGTTATTACTATCACAAGAAAATAAAGTGATCTGTTCAAGTTCGTCAAGAGAAGTTCCTGACTTGCATGTTTCAATATCATTAAAACTGAGTGCTGTATCGACATTTTCGTCTTCATACTTTGACTTGAGGTTCTCCACGAATAGGGACGTATTTATATGACGACTGGATAACACACCATATAAATCAGTAGTAGCAGACTTCTTTTCATCACTAATATCTTGTTTAGAATTTAACACCTGACTGTCCTTTCTAACATCTTTTGTACTTAGTCCTTCTCTTGGATAACTTATATTATGGTTACAGGTGCTCGCCAAGTTGTTATATTGAGATTCAATATTTCCTAGTTTGATTTCCGACAAAGGATTAGAATTTACTTTATCATGATTAAATCCAATTTTAGAGGAAGTCGGAGGTAAGTATGATGTGGTGCTGTCATTTGTTTGTGTAATGAATGGCTGAAAACTTAAATTATTCATATTAGTATCCAGCAGCATGCCATTTAACATTGAGGAATTTGTTTTAATTGGGATTACTGTAGACTGCCTAATAAAAGTCGCTTTGGGAGGTTCACACAGGAAAGTACGATATATCATTGGCTGTTCATTTACAAGTTGTTGAACAGTTGGTGACTGTATATTCAAAATTCGAATTTCCTTGATTTGATTTTCCTGGTTTAGTGACAATGGTGATATCAGGGATTCAGTTATTCCGTCAATAGTTTGACATGGTATAATTTTATGCAATTGATAAGTTACATGTTCGATGTCCCCACTATCAGTAACTAATAATGTCATTGTTTCGTCGACTTCTTTATTTTCCTTAGAAATATAGTTGTCATTTATGACAGGTGATATGAACACTCTTTTGTCATATGGATTGCTAACACATGTTGCATGGGAATAATTATAATCTACTTTTACTGGTTGGTATAATTCCATGTTCAATTTATTATTTACCTGTGGATTTGGTTGTAAGTAATTTCTGCAGCAATTGATAGAGTTAACAACAGATGTTCGGTTTTGTTCAATTATCACTGGCGTTTGGTTTTGAGCATGATTTTCATCAGAATTTTGATTGTTCAAGCGAGTGGAAAAATTTTGATCAACGGGAAATGCAACATTCTCATGGTTCATTTTAGAATTATTGTTGTTATTAGACGTAATCGATTTCGATGTAATTTGTACGACGATTTCTGACTTGGGAATACATTCATCAGCTTCAATTTTGTTGTCATCGCTATTTACATTACGTGCACGTTTTTTAGGTTTATACTTATAGTCAGGAAATTCTATGGCATGTAACTGTTGCAAGCGAAAGCTTCATCTATGTACTTACCACGCATTTTCAAATCTAGTTTTCTCCATAGTTGTCCCACTCGTTGACTTATGTGTACATTAGGTGCATCGGGGAACCAGTGCAGTATGATTCTTCGAAGGTATTGGGCGAAAATCTGTAGTAATTCATGAAAAAGGAAAATATTCGTAAAACTTCGCGAGTGAAATTTCAAAAAGATATACATAATGAGATACACCAGTAGCTGTTACTGATGTTTAAACGATCTACAATAAGTTCACTTTCACATCATTTATTCAACTAATAATTTGAAACTGACACTAATAAGAAAATGGCTGAACATAGTTCTCTCATAACCTAAACAAGCTTATAATCTTAGTTGTGCAGATTCATCTAACTCTATCCAGTTACAACTTGATATGCAACATCGTTCGAGTCAAGATGAAAAAACCAGTTGCTAGAATTTGAATGGTCGATAAAACACACTTCTGGTTGAACTCCACATGATATATATCAGTTACTGAAGAATTGAAATATCAATCCTAATAAAAGACCACAAGTTAGTAGATTTGCCCTTTTTCATTTTCATACAACTTGGATCAACTCGTATCCACCATTTCTTAACACTAAATGTTCTAAACCTAGTCTAATTTTCACTTCATTAGTTAGCTTGTTGTGGTGTATTTCTTAAACATTTAGAAATCTGGAACGATATGCAAGGATTTAAATTTAATATTGCTTAGTTCTTTGATTTTCATTTACATGAAATAGGGTTTAGTGACATTAAACAGTGAAGTGCTGTGAGACAGTGCTTTTCCATGTTGACTTGTTCATCTATCTGTAAACTGCCTGTGGCCGGTTAACAATAATGACAATTAGCAATATTTATCTGATCAAATAAGGAACAAAAGTGGTTCGTCCAAGTTCCAAAGAGGTTCAGAATGATAGCTAGTCGTTGTTTCCGAAAGCTGATCAAAGAACCAAATATCTTAATTCAGAAAAACATGGCTACTTATATCATTGCAGTCCTAAACACCAATGGGAAGATTCAAACAATCAATACAAAAATGAATTAAACTTCACACCACTGCACAAGCTAGGACGAAATGCGTATCCTGGATTCCACTACTAGCAACTGTTTATCTCTGCTTATAACGCTTGTGACTGGAAGTAATCGGAATAGGATGCACATGTGCATGTACTCACTGCCTTACATGCTGTTAGTTTTGTTATCGTGCTGCTGTGGAATGTGACGATTTGTGATTGGATGACTTACACCTGAATGCTGTCATGAAACACTAAAACAGAAAGTCTGTCTACGGTAACCATGACAATGCGTCAGCCTAAATTTATTTGCCCTCAAATGTCCTGGTACGGCCGAAAGTAGGGAGAGTCCACTCTCCCTCTCGAAATGCTCTCACATGGCCACGCGTATATAGCCTCTGCCAGGGAAGTCCTACGCACTGCCTTCTCGTGGCGGGAGTGTTGTTTACGAAATTGAGAGGACGAAAAGCGAATGTCCGGAGCTTTAACCGGGTTGGTGGACATGGAGGGTTCACCTGGGGGAGTTGGAAAACCTTAGTGCACATGGTCTCCAGTACCCTGAGGGAACAAATGGCATATGAACCAATTATTGGTCACCGGCTACCGTTGGACTGCATCTCCTTACGTTGCTCCACTGCCTTGTGGATCAGACCTTCAGGTCGAAGGCTCCGACGTGACCCCCTAAGAGAACCACCTGCTTCGGTTTGTGCACCCGGGAAGTATTAAAGCCCTCACACACATCAAATGAGATTTGTGTGGCGCATACGTATTTGTTGCCTCCTTGTACCAATATCTATGTGTTAAAATAAAATAAAAATTTCAATAAAATAATTATGACTAACAGTCATATGATGAAAGGAAAGTGAAGTCAAAACATCCATGTAAAATATAAGTGATTTATTCGATAAATGATTATTCGTCTGAAAACCGCATCTAGAAATGATGCTTACTGCCAAAGTTACCCAATGTCTTCTGAAAAATAACCACACCTTCCTGTTTAACGAACAAAAAGGACTCGCAAGATAATCGATGAGTTAATTTTTTTGTTAATACACACTACGAAATTCAAAATTTTCTATAAATGAACTAAAATTTCGAATAACTAAGCAGGAAGATAAGTTTAACTATCTAATATGGTTCACAATGGAGTTTTTCCATGTTCACCGAGCAATGAATGGGTTTAGGAGGAATTCGTTTTTCTATTTGTCGTTTGGATTGTAGCGGTATATAAATCCCAAAAATAAATAGCTGCTGAGCATATTAATTTCAATGGACTCACCTAGCTGAAGGCGCCCGGTCATGCATCAGCACCAGATCACGAATGGGAACGCCGTGTTCAACAAACCCTGTAATCCCAAAAAGGAACAGACTCACAGTTTGCAATTTGGTGTACCAGATCACGTCGGGCTCACCAATGAAGATGCCACAGGTATTCGGAGTTTGACAACGCTTTAACCAGTAACACCTAATATGAATCGTACCCACCAAGTGAAATCGAAAGACGGAAGCGAGAAGGTTCGAAGATATATTTGATAGGCTATCAATATATCGAGGGTCGTCTGATCTAATCTGGCTAGCGACTACAGGGCCCGACCGTTGTTGCTACCTTGACGTGGTGGTCGGGCTTGCCTATCGTGATGAAGCAACCGAGCTATACTGACCTCACCTCGGCAAAACGGAGAGCCAACGAGATACACCCTCCGTGTATCTGGTGACCCGATGACCAGCTCTCGTGGACTAGCAGGAGTAGGCATAGCACTAAGCATGAGGGCCGAACAAGCACTGTTAGAGTGGATCCCCGTCAACAGTCGTTTATGTGCTGTTCGGCTAAACGGCTACGTAAGAACTCGGAAGGATAGGGACACACGTCGTTGCCTTTTTGTCGTTTCTGCCTACGCTCCCACCGACTGCAGCTCAGATGAAATGAAAGATGAATTTTACAGAAAGCTAAACGTTCAGACATAGTACTCGTAGCAGATGACTTTATTGCCCAGACATGTAGTTTAAATTAAACAGAAAGGCATTTAGGTGGGTATTTTAGTATTCCGGCACAACGAACAGATAATGGTGATCGTCTGCTGCAACTGTGCTCAGACAATCGTTTATTTTTAGCAAACACAAATTTTAAGCATAAGGAGAGACATCGTCTAACATGGCGACCCCCTACACCAAACCAACGATGGACTCAAATAGACCATATTGCCATCAGTCATCGTTGGAGAGGGTCGGTAGAAGATTGTCGCTCATTCTGGAGTACCTGCTTGGACTCCGACCATGCCCTAATACGGGCACGCATCTGCTTGCGCCTCACTGGACGCAAAAAAGACCCATTAGAACTGAGTTGAGTAACGAGAAAACCAAAAGTAGGTTCCAGGAACAACTGAGGTCACACTTAGGTAGTTCTGAAAACGAGGCTGACCCAGATGTTGCTTGGAAAGATATACAAACAGCTGTGGAAACAGCAGTGACATCTATTAGTGACTTAAACCACAGAGTTACAAAGAACCAGTGGATTTCTTCAAGTCTATCACACTGATGGATTCTCGCAAACTCGTCCCATCAGGTTCCGAACATGATGAAGAGCGACAACAAATCAGATCTAGGTTAAGAAAAAGTCTAAGAAACGACCGTGAGCAGTGGTGGGCAACGAAAGCAAAAGAGATGGAAAAGGCGGCGACTATAGGGAACACAAGACAGCTTTACAGACTAATAAAAGAAACTGGAATTAATAAGTCAAGTGTAAGTGAGATTATTTCGGAAAAAGACGATACTCTCATCTGCTCCCAGTCCAGACGTTTAGAACGATGGGCGGAACAGTTCAGCTACTCTACAACTACCCTCCATTCCCAGACAGTGTGAATGGAACATTGAAGTAGGTCCCCCAACTCTAGCTGAAGTTCAAAAGGCTATAGTTAATCTGAAACGAGGAAGGGCAGCTGGTCCAGATGGATTGGCTCCAGAGGTCTTTAAGGATGGTGGTCCAATTTTAGCGATTAGGTTGACTAATATTTTAGCTAAGATCTGGACGTTATTCCATCTGACTGGTCACAATCACTTATCGTCCCAATATATAAGAAAGGGTCAAAATCATCCTGTGACAACCACAGAGGGATTAGTTTAACTAATATAGTATCTAAAATACTAGCCTCGATAATTATCAGACGCCTAACTAAGACTCGTGAACTGCAAACACGAGAGAACCAAGCTGGCTTCAGACCTGGTCGTGGCTGCATCGACCACATATTCACCATTCGTCAGGTTCTAGAACACAGGCATACTTATCGGCGTCCGACAATGGTGGTCTTTCTTGACTTAAAAGCAGCATTTGACTCGGTAGACCGCGAGATTCTGTGGCAGTGTCTGTCATTGAAAGGCGTACCTCAGAAGTACATAAACCTTGTGAAGGCTCTTTACTCGAACACTACTAGTCGAGTCAGAGCTTATGGCGAACTGTCATCTACTTTTGCAACCTCAAGTGGTGTCCGTCAAGGCTGTCCACTTTCTCCATTTTTGTTTAACTTCATCATAGACTTATTGATGGAAATAACATTCTCGTCGACTGAATTCTCGGGTATTGATCTCCTTCCAGGAGGTCCACTTATCGACTTAGAATACGCAGATGACATAGTCCTGTTTGGTGGAGACGCCGATAGAATGCAGACTCTTTTGTCGAAGGCGAGATATCCGTCTATCAATAAAAGGACGAATATACTGCGCGGCAGTCCGTTCTGTTTTAATTTACGGCAGCGAAACATGGCCATTAAGAGTAGAAGACACTCGTGAGCTACTAGTATTTGACCACAGATGCCTTAAAAATATTGCTGGCGTCTGTTGGGATCACCGGGTAAGTAAGAGTGAGGTTAGACGCAGGGTATTAGGGAATGATGGTAAATCAGTTGACGAGGTTGTGAATCTTCATCGACTGAGATGGTTGGGCCACGTGTTACATATGCCTGAACACCGATTACCACGTCGTGCAATGCTAACGGGTGTTAGAGATGGTTGGAAAAGAATTAGGGGAGGTCAAACCAAAACGTGGCATCAGTGCTTGAAGACACTAACCTCTAGTCTGAGCCGTGTTGGGAGATGCAGACTACTTGGTTGGGGTCCGCGTGACTATCGTAATCAATGGTTGGAGACTCTTGGTGACATGGCTCAGAATCGATCACAATGGCGTCGGTGTATACACTCTCTATCTTCCCTTAAACTAAGAGATTAAAATCACTTCATATCTTTCTACTAACTAATTCTTTCTTCCTGTACTATATCCTTATATGCAATCTTTCTCCCATATATTACAACCTTTGACCTAGCCACTCCTATGAATCCGGTGTTCATCTTGCTGTGGTAATGCGGTATGGCAACCTGGACCGTTGCATATATGTGCCTGGTCCTACGTTGTAGCTGACTGACTGACTGAGCGATTACAGGGGTTGTTGAACACGGCGTTCCCACTCGTGATCTGGTGCTGATGCATGACCGAGCGCCTTCAGCTAGGTGAGTCCATTGAAACTAATATGGTCAGCATCCAATGTCGAAGACTTACAGAGCTATTTATTTTTGGGATTTATTTACCGCTATAGAATCTTCACATAGACGTTCAGGACTGTAATTGACCGGTCTCTTATTGGAACATGTGCATTCTCTCTGGATTGTCTGATATTGCCTTTAGTCGTAAGCATTATAATGGTGGTTTATAGTGAAGTCCAGGATGTGGGTTTCGTCGGTGGGAAGATTTAAATAACCAATATGAAAAAGAATTAAACTTCATTCCTTAGCATAAGCTAGTGGCGACCTGGGCTCAGTTTCTAAGGTGGTAACGCGGTGGCGTTTTAAGCCAATGGTATTGAGCTCGAGCCAATGAGTGAACAACTCTGGGATGCAAGTACGTCCAACTGATGAGTCCAAAATGGGACGAAACGCGCATCCTGCATTCCAATGCTAATCACCATCCATCTCTGCTTATAATTTAGGATAAAATCATAAACATAATTTTCAAATGATTTATATACCTTCGTACAGATAACAATCTTTCTTTTGGATCGATCTCTACCTAAACGCTTGAAAATGTGTCAACAAATCGAACTTAAAATAACTTTTATCATCTTACAATACCAATATTATGTACTGTAGACCTATCAATATACAAAGGTAACGTTGATATATACCTTTTAGCTCAATAGATGGCAAAATAATGATTATTAAAATATAGACTTCATGAATAAAAGTGGACATAGAGATAAACGCAAGACATCTTATAAAACCCACTGAAAGATTATGATTCATATAGTAGAAAAATAATCAAAAAATCTACAATCCTATTAATTATGATAAAACGTTCATATGTTAATTATTACCCTGTACATAAAACTTACAAGTGAGAAATTTAATAAGTATAAAACGGTGTATTAATTAATGGACATTTTAAAGTAAATAACATTAGCTAAAAAGCCAAACATAACAGGAATATGATACGAAGTATAACTTCAGAGAATTGTTACCATCATCCAATTTATTTAAATGAAATAACAAATGAAAGGCCTACTATAAACCTATAAATTCTATGCTACAACACTACAGGCAATAATAAAGAATCGACACGAGAAAACAAATAACAGCGATTGTAACAACTAATATCAGCCAACTATAGTGTGAAAAAAAATAACGGAGTTTTTACAAATGACAATTACAAAACAAATGTACTATTACAGGAGTGAAAAAAAACTTAATTTGTACATGTATCACAGTAACAGGTTCGGGCAAACAAGTCTCAATTAACATAAACATTATCAACAATGAAATAATCTTTTAGCCTGACTCCTATGTTAAATACCGTATATAATTGACTTGAGTGAGGTACTAGTATTTGATATACGGAAGTGATTAAATCGATCACCAAAGATGAATGAATGTACTAAATATTCCCTTTCATCATTATTTATGCTACCTTTAAATATGTGAAATCCTGAAAATAAATTTTTCTATTGGGAGTTAGGGAATCGAAACTGAGATAAATAATCCTGCTATAGAATAATAGCACGACTTTCTGGCCATTACCCGTCAAGCTGGAATTTTGCTCCATATCATTTAATATAGGCAGTCAATAAGTATGACTAGCCCTTGAAATACTATGACTAAAAGCTGAGTACATGAAACTACTTGACTGCAATGTTATATAAATCGTATTTGCTTAAGAATCAATAAAGGAATAAAGTGAATAAATATGGTTGAAATATAAAAACCACCAGGAAAACTGTTTGACAACAAAGGCCTACCATAAAACTATTTAGCGGTCGAGGAATTGCAGATGCTTTACGTTTTTTGTTAGAGCCAACAACTGCGGTATAAGGATATTTTTTTTCTTTTTCACTAAGACGATCAGCACGTGAACTTGGCCAATGAACTGGTATAGGATGTAATTCACCTAAATGATCCATCCAAGAATCTAATGATTGAGATCGTAAATCAGAACATTGATCACACATTGTGAAGTCAAAAATCCCATTCGAAAATATGTTTGGACTGGGTACAATGGATGATGAGTCCGATAAAATGCATTCATTACCAGTCGATTTGTGTCGACGAACAGAACAGACATCATATGAATTATTACCCAAGGAATGAGTTCTAAGTTTTCCGCAAGGGCTACTTGACTGGGATCGTGTTGGACGTTCATGGATTATTACTGACTTTATGGGTGAAGCTGACGCAGAACAGCTCATGTGCAAACGTTTGGCACTTGGAGTTAGTCCACTTGTACGATTTGAATATTTATTTTCCTTTGCCATCATAGAAGTTGGGTGTGGATCAGTGGTAAATGAAGACTGGTTCTTCAGTTTTTTTGTTCGTTTATATTTACCTCTAGTTGATGCAGTTGGTGATAGAGAGAGGAAGTTATGAACACCTGGTGAAACATTAAAATCCAACTTTTCAGATTTTTCTACTGTCAAAGAGATGTCTTGCGTTCTTCCAAACTTCAGTAAAGCCATGACATAATTCAAATAATAGGTGATTCAGTTGATTGAATGAGATCTTGCACAGTACTAAATTAATATAATTCCAAGATGGAAAATGAAGAACGTGACTATGCGCAAATAAGGTTTATCGGTCCCATCATGTTCACCCTATGCTCTATTAGGTCTAAGCCATAAACTTTTATCCAAATGTGAACGGCATATAAATGGCCTGGGGGTGAGAAAATTTATAGCAGTCCTTATCAGGGTCAATTCATTTATTCAGCCCATTGGGTCTAGAACCATGTTAAAACGTGTTTGGGTGAGAGAGATGAGAGTAAACCCCACTCTTCGCCCCCCACCCACCTCATCACCTGACATGCGAAAATCGATTTTAAGTTAACATGTTATGAGACGCATCATCCTCCTCCCCCTCCCAATCTAGCCACCAGGATTTCAACCACTCACAGAGGTGAATGGAATAACCTTCGTGTTTATTTTCCTCCTATCCAATAATGAATAATTCATCATTTAGAATTAGTGAATTCAGTTACTTTTTTCAAAGGTTAGGCCATTTTCACATCAGACATGAACAACTGAATCATGTCATTTCAGATGACTCGAATATTCATTTCAGCAGACAATAAATTCAGAATAGAATATTAGTCATCCTATGAGACACATTAGAAACACTCGACGTGATTTTTTCATACAGGACCTTGGTGATACTAATCGTAAACAAATCTCATAACCTAATCCCACCTGCATTTCATTGGTCATAAATAATACTTAGAGAATAACATTTTTTAAATGATTTTACCAAAAATAAATTTTTGCCAGAAAGAATCTAATTTGTATATAATTGCTAGAATACGGGAATTTCTATGACGTTTTCTCAAGCTTATGTAGGTCTAAATTAGTGTTGAACTCTGGTCTATTATATCTGGAGGCTGGAATTTGATAAATCACGATCTGTAAATAAATATCCTAACTAGAGAACGGACTTTGTACAACAAACTGTGATAACCTCATTGAAATCCTGAACTAACCAGTGAAAAGCCGAAAGCACTAGACAGCCGTTTCGTTCTGGCAAATACTACTCTGGAGTGCATATCCACGATCTTGTGCGCAAACAATTAACCACTAGACCACTAAACTGGGGTCCAACGATGTCAATATTTAACCTCAGTCAATCCACAACATTCCATAAATCTAGACACTTCATCATAATTGTGATTGTGTGTGGGCTGTGATACTGCCCGGGTGTCCAAACCGAAGCAGCTGATTCTGACTAGCACTAACTTTCGGCACAGTCATCGCCGATGTAACACCTGACGTCCTCCATCTGAATCTCAAGCCTGGACTCAGATTGATCACATCGCGATCCGGGCCACTGGCAGCGAGAAGTCTGGTGTGAGTGAAACAATCTGCGAGGATGGCGAGATGCCAATCACTAACATCCATCGACGTCTTAGACGATGGACAGAATTTTTCGAAGGGCAGTTCAACTGGCCTGCTGCTCCGGCAACATCGGTCAGACTGTCCTGCCCTCCATGGCCGGTGACGACTGATCCACCAAATGAAGCGGAAGTCCGCAAGGAACTCCAAATCTTGAAGCTCCACAAACCACCAGGACCAGATGACTTACCTCCGGATCTTTTTAAAGATGGTGGTGACTTTCTAACTAAGGAACTGACGACGTTGTTTACAAAGGTTTGGGAGCTAGAGAGTATACCAATGTCATGGAATGAGTCTATATTTGTCCCTATCTTTAAAAAGGGTTCACGTCGTTCCTATAACAACTATCGGGGGATAAGTCTACTTTCGATTGCGTCTAAGCTATTAACTTCCGTCATACTTCGTAGGTTGTTCAAAGATTGACTCACGAGGAGCAGGTTGGTTTTCGTTCTTGTTGAGGATGTATTGATCTTATCTTCACCCTCCACCAAATGTTAGAACACCGCCATACTTATCAAAGGCCAACAATCGTAGTGTTTCTTGACATCAGGGCTGCCTTCGATTCCTTGGACGGGACTGTCCTATGGGATTGTCTATTGAAGAAGGGTGTGCCTGAGAAGTTTATTAACATCCTAAAGCCCTATATACCAACACCTCAGGTAGAGTGAGGGCATACAACCACCCTCTCCATTGTTCCATTCAAGCAGTGGGGTTAGACAGGGTTGCCCAATCTCACCATTCTTCTTCAACTTTGCCATCGATGACATTCTGGAAACAGCTCTGGTGGATGTAAGTAATGGCGGTGTAGATCTGCTACCTGGAGAAAGACTTCTCGACCTTGAGTATGCTGATGATATTGTCTTAATGTGCGATAATGCCCAAGCCGTGAAATCCGCGCTTAATCAGTTGGCAATTAGTGTCCGTAGGTATGGTATGTGCTTTGCACCTTCCAAGTGCAAAATGCTTCTACAAGACTGGCAGGATTCTAATCCTGTACTCACCCTGGATGGTGAGCAGATAGAAGTAGTCGAGAAGTTCGTGTATCTAGGTAGCTGCATAAGTGCTGGTGGTGGCGTGAGTGATGAGATCAATGCACGAATAGTGAAAGCCAGAGCGGCTTATGCCAATCTGGGCCATCTTTGGCGCCTTCGCGATGTCAGTCTGGCTGTATAAGGTCGGATCTACAACGCGTCGGTGAGAGCAGTTTTGCTCTATGCTTGTGAAACCTGACCTCTCCGAGTTGAAGATGTTATACGACTCTCTGTGTTCGATCATCGCTGTCTCCAAAGGATTGCTGACATCCAGTGGCAACACCATGTTAGTAATGCAGAGGTTCGGTATCGTGTGTTCGGGCACAGAGACGATAATGCAACCGGTGTCACCATCTTGAAACACCGACTTTGGTGGCTTGGACATGTTCTACGAATGTCGTCCCAGAAGATTCCACGTCGTGCATTATTTGCCGACGCTGGGACTGGTTGGAAGAAGCGGAGAGTTGGTCAGTGCATGACACGGTATCGTGGTATGAAAGAAAGATGCAAAGGGCTGGCTTCTGTTGGTCCTTCACGACTCCCTGGTTGGGGTCGGAGAGATGGTGCTACACAGTGGCTAGAGACGTTATCAGATATTGCTCAGAATAGAAGTCAGTGGCCATCCTGCTGTAACCTTCTTTTACTTTCTTCATAAAAAGTGGTTGCTTCTTCCTTAACTGAAAGATTTCTTCTGATTGTACCTTTACGTTTCCCCCATTATTATTATTACACTAATCTATACGTTATTGTTTTTTTACGCTCCTTACATTTTTTCCCTTCTTCTCTTCAAATTCTCATTGTTTTGTGTGGCGCATATATATTTAGTGCCCTCTTGTATCAATATTTATTTGTTCAAATAAAATAAAATAAATAATAAAATCCACAACATTACGCGACCATCTTCCATTGTGTGAACTGTGATAAATTGATTGACTTAAAATGAAAGTTAATAAAAATGATGGTTTAAATGGCTAGAATGAATTTTCATGGTTAGCGTTTCATTTGAGCAAGGTTCAAGGTTACTAATCACAGGCCCAACCCTCCTCCATCCGTGTTAGGGATTGGCAATAAAGCTAGAAAGACTCAAGGAGTAGTCTAAAGTAATACATAATGCGACGGAAATGAAATTTGACTACCTCTTACCGATGTAAGTTGCTGATTTCAGCTTCTTTCTGTGTAAATAGGTCTGATTATTAACTTCTCATTTTCATTTAACAGTATCATAGACGTGCGTTTAGCGACAACTCACTCATCATCCGACATTTCAGGGTTTGAACTTGTAGGTTTCTTCTCAGCTCCTCACATTCGGATAGATATTCCTGTCGCTTAACATTTGCATACCATCTCACACGATGACCGTAATCAGTGCCTTCCAAGGATATTACGGGTGAAAAGTGACCCACCCCCTCATCCAATGATGGGTCTCAAGCTTAAACTGTCTTTCAGTTATCACGAAAGTTCGTGGGTACTAGTTCGATTTTGGACTCTTCTACACTCTAACTTGTTCACAACACGAACCTTCGCCTTCCTGGAGAGTTCGTTGGTACTGCATCTCCTTCAGTGAATGTGAATTAAAATCTCTACCTTGGCCCAGTTTGCAAACACCATATGTTCAGTTAAGCCACAATTAACCGATATCTTCATCCAACCTGCCTTGCGGCATAGTACAAACGTCTTTGTACTTTGCAATATATTCTACTGATGCCTTAATGTGGCCTGCGAAGGATTTGAATTGTGAACATAAGTGATATGTCATCAATAAAAACGGGACTGACGATGACGTAAGCGTTGGTCAGCTGAAAACATTATACTTAAAGGGCAAACACTTCTCTATCAGAGTTCGAATAACACTATCAGATGCCAATATGGATATTATATTACGAATTTCACCAAAAAACTAGCATCAGTAAAAATCACCGGTTACTAGCAATAAAAGATAATCGGTGTGTGAACGTTTTGTGAGCTTCCCAGATCACATGAAAGACTCCAACGTGTAAAGCACTTATGTTCGCCTTCTTTTTGATTTCGTTTTTCATAGGCTACACTACCTTTGTTACACTTTAATTATAGTAATGTCTCCTAGAAGACAAGAGAATATGATTTCTAATATGTTTATGCATTTTTCCTCTAGAGTACAATTTTTGGTCAAATACAGTTTTTTTTGCCGCAAAAAACTAAAGCAACGAACTATTTGAGTATTGAATTTATTATTTTTTTGCACCTATATATGCGTGTTGATATCCATTTCTTTTACTCCCATTTCGCAAAGCTTCCTCATGTTTAGAATACTATTCATTTTCAATATATATATCTTATGTATTTTAGAAATTAAGGGGAGTTTGTTGTAAACTTACATCTTTTTTACTTCTTACATGATTTCTTAATGTAACGGAAAACGATTAGTTGCTGTCAAACGTGGCAAGCAATCAGGAAACTGTTTGCCAATAGCAAGCGTGCTGGTTTATGTCTAAGGATCCTCAAAACCTTACTAGGGGAGTGGTGAAGTGAAGCGGTAGATAATTCTTTAAAATAAATAGCTTGTAAGGA